CTGCGTGTGGGACTATAAGAAAAATACTATTAAGGAGAAAGAACAAGAATTAAACAAGAAGAAAATAACGATTTCAATTTTTAAAGATCAGAGTTGACTGGGAAGCCAGATGAAAGTTCAACAAGTACATTAGAGGAAACTGTTAGCATAGAACTTACGGTTGAATTTAGCTATTTCATCTGTAAAATAATGCGAAATTGCCCCCAATCTTCTACTGCGCTAAAATTATTAAAGGCTAGGAAAATAGAGGAAAATTTTTCAAAACAATTTAATGGAGGTTTTTTATAGAAAAGGTAAAAGGAAGCCCCGTTACGGCGCTGGGATGGTATTTATCAATTCACCCACAGGAATCGAATGTGGCACAAGGCCTTTTTAATGTGGGTATGTCTGAGCCCGTAGGCCCAGCCAAAAATAAAACCCATCTCAACCCGTCCAAGCGGGCTAGTTCCGTCAACCTCCCCGAACGAAACCCCACCCTTCGGCGGAGCTTCCTCCGGGTTCCTCTCTGCAAGCAGAGAGTTCGACAGACACCCTACCCGGCAGCTCACAAAGCGCAGATACTACACTTTGATCCTAGCCACCGGGCCGAGCGGGTATTCTTTTTATGGTTACGGCGCTGGGATAGCGACTGATGCCGATATGTCTGGTTAAGACCAATAATGTTGCAGATCGTTCATTGAATTTTATCAAGAATCTCCAAATATATACCAGAAGCACCACACCGTATGTGGCAGTAATATTCAAAACTTGGATAAATGGTAGACTTATAAATGAATGGCATAAATGTCCGAGACATTATTTTTTGTCGGATTTCATCCATTTCATAATCTGTTGTCATTCTTTATGTTAAGTTACGTTTCGTGGGCAGATATGATCGATCGAGAAAAATCGTAGAAGAATGTGTGTTTAAAAAAACAGTAATTTGAACTCTTTTCTGTAACTAAATAGTATAGCACGTTAGATCAAATGACGGTTAGCATGACAAAATTTTATTATAGAAATAAAAAGTTAAAACCAATTTTACCATCCATGATAAAAAAAAAACTATAAAACAAACGCAGCCGACCGGTTTGAAACGGGTCGGCAGCGTTTGTTCTATAATTTTTTTCTATCCTGAAGATTAAAACTGGTCTTACGTTTTTTTTCCATAATATATATATATATATATATATATATATATATATATATATATATATATATATATATAAAAGTTATGGTCCGGTTCTTTGTACCACGGTGATAGTCAAGGTAGAACCAATAAAGAAGAACTCGGACACGTATATGGAATAACACAGATATATTACAAACAGGAATATATACAGAGAAATAGAAAGTGTTAGTACGAACAATCAGGTTTAGCAGACTGCCTGACAGACTCCAGACGGACTTCACTCCAGACTTCAGACGGAACGGTATTTAGTCACCCCCCACCACCACCACGAGGGCATCATGTGGCACAAGGCCGGTTTAACGTGGGATCTCCGAGTCCTTGGGCTCGGCCAAAAATATGCCCTTTGAACCCGTATAAACGGGTTCAGGGTCGGTTTACCTCCCCGAAAGAGACTCCGACCTTCGGCGTAGCCTCGTTTGAGCTCCTTCCGCCAAAAAAGCAGAGAGTTCAACCGATCAGCCGTTTGCCCGACTGAACTCTCTGCTTCCTCTTGAGGCGCAGTATTTATTACGTATGGAATAGTCCATTATGTTATTATAGTAAGGTCCCCATAGCAATATATATATATATATATATATATATATATATATATATATATATATATATATATGACATAAAGTTAACACTTAGGGGCGACCGTCTGTTTCCCGCTAGATACAATAGTCAGGCCATATATATATATATATATATATATATATATATATATATATATATATATATATATATATATAAAGATGAGAGAATCCGCGAATGTTTTTGGTTATAATGTGGATTTTTTAAATATATATTATACTTTATTTTTATATTTTCCTACACGGGTTTCCGGTCTCACGTCCTTCATCAGGCAGCGTGATTATTTCCCCATATTATGAAAAGGAATTCATTTTTCCTTGTGTTTTCCGATGTTTAACCATTGTCTTTTGTATGTAGTGGTATCCCAGCTGTTTCTTGGACATGTGGATAAAATATTCTTCTGCTTAAAGGATAATAAAAGAATTAGGATATACAGAAATAACATAGAATTTTAAGACTGAAAGATGTTTCCACATTATTTCACTTACGTGCCAAATTTTCTGATTAAGCTGAATCAAAAAGAGAATCATTATTTAATTTCATTAATAGATTTTGGGTTTCATATTTTCAATGTTTAAAATTATTATTGTAACTATAATTTCTATCTTAATAATTTCTTCCTTAACATTTATCGGTTGAGGAAATTACTTCCGACTTTCTTCTTTCCTGTCAATGATGATGTTCGAAAGTTTAAATTCAATGTCAATCTTCACCTTTTATCTCTATGAATCCTGTTATTTTATTATTCCCTGTTTCTTTCACTCTCATTAACGCCTGGCATCTTTTTTAACTATAATCGCTTTGCTTGTGAAAATTGATTATATATATATATATATATGTGTGTGTGTGTGTGTGTGTGTGTGTGCGCGCGCGCGTGTGTGTAGCATCACACAAACAATCAACTGGGCTATTATAACAAGAGCCAAATCTTATAACGGGAAAATAAATAATTATGTAATGTTAGAAAACACTTAAATAACCCTACCTTATTAAACAAAAAAAATGAATTGATGGTTACATGTAGGCATAACAATAAATATCTGCTTAAAAACGCTAATCCAGATTAATTTTTAATATAATTTGCGATTTAAATTTAAGTATGTTATGGCTCGTTTATATATATATATATATATATATATATATATATATATATATATATATATTTCATTCAAAACAGTACTGTTTCGCTGTATCACAACTCTTCAGTGCGAATAGACCTGCGAATGCCTCAAGCCAGGATCAAAACTCAACTGGTTTGGTGTCAGTCAGAGCTTCTACCATTGAGCTATCTTCATTCATCAGAGTGAAACAGCTAAATCTAGCGTATTGTTTTTACGAATATATATATATATATATATATATATATATATATATATATATATATATATATATATATATAAAACAAAGTAATCTCACTTTAATAAAAAAAAATTAATGACCCCAACGCTAAAAGATTCATTATATTATATCTTACGCACATATATATATATGAAAATGACAAATATATTTTTAAAATATTTTTTAAATTAAAAAACTGTATCGCTGTATAATATATATCTACGCCAAAATTACGATAACCAGTTATATTTTTAAAATTTAAATTACGTAACAGCAATTCTATACTCAGCACCTGAAGATGGCGTTGTGCATGAAACTCCGAGTCGTGCTATCGCTGAATATATATATATATATATATATATATATATATATATATATATATATATATTCTTTAAACGCTATTTTTATAGATACAAATATTTAAGTTAATGCTCTCTTTATGATAAATAGTATTAACAGCATTTACCGGCCTCAATGTCCGAGAAATCTCAGAGAAAATATGAGTCTTTCGATAGGAATCGAACCTGTATCCTACATGTAACCGTCATATAAACTGGCGTGATATACCATTTAGCTACAGAGGAAGCGTATGCTTTTACTGATAACCAGACGCTTTCTTTGTAACTAAATGGTGTAGTACGTGAGGTTATATTACTGTTCTGTGTAGGGTACAGGTTCGATTCCTGTCGGAGGACATATATATTTTCTATGAGATTTTTCGTACATCCATTTACTCAAGTTCACTATGTTATGCTTTGTTTTCCCTATCCCTCTTGCGTTTATTCTTCCTATGAGTATCAGATTTTCCAAACCGTCTTTCCTTATTATGCGAGCTAGAAATTTCAACATTTCTACCTGATGTTACGTATAAGTGTTTCTCTAAATCTTCATCGTTGCTCACGTTAATTCACGGTATTCTCAGCACACCTTTGTAGAACCACATTTCTGTTGTTTCAAGTACCTTCTTCATATTTGAGGAAAATATCCAGCCTTCGCTGCGCTATAGGAAGACAGATATCACGTAACAGTGCAGTAATCTTTTCTTTATTTCTATCGAATTTTTTTTCTGTTTTTAATACTCTGCTTGGATTTTAGAATGAATCTGCTCTTTCAGATTTCAGTGTAGTAATTTTCGAATGACTTCACTGTAATTATTTCAAAACATTTGTTTTTGCTGTGAGAAAGGTACGCCTTTCATTAATAAAAACATTGGTTCCCGGACGATCATGGAATTCTTGTAACACTAGAACTGTTCATTACTTACAGGTGCTGTAAGCTTGCATATGCGGGAGGAGGTGTAATGGAAAACGATTTGGAATTGAAAAAAATTGAGTGTTGGGTTCGTTATATTCACCTACGCGCAAATGCACTTGAGAAGATTATGAATCCACCTCTTCTCCTCCCAAATATGGGTTAATTAGTAATTCTTGTATCATTAATTCATTATTGACTCAGAAAAAAATTCTTAGAATCTAAAAATATTTTCTGGCTTTAAATAACCCTCAAATACACAAATCAATCAACTTTATTCTTTTATTTATCGTTACATTCTTTAGTTCCAACAGTTCGGACCTTTATAGCTAAGACCCACCCTGTCACGTATACAAGCTCGACTCATCCTCTTTCCATTCTTAATCTATTTGTAAGGAGGAAGTTCGACTGAAATAGCATGTTGCCAAGAGCTTTGGGGATCAGACTGCTAAAATGATGCTTTCCCGATTATTACGATATTAAACTGTTCAAATCTCGTATCAGTCGTTATCTCCCCCTAGATATCATCATAAAATGCACTTCCTCCTCTTACAATAACCTGATTCATTAACAGTAAGTGGCTTTTGGTCTTGTATTAAGTAAACATTATTATTATAAATTATTACACACTCCTTTCTTAATTATTATTTCCATTTCATAATTTCAGGCAGCTCTTCTTTTTTCCTCATCTTTTTCCTTCTCGATTTTCTTTTTCTTCCTCTTTCTTCTTTTTTCGCCTCTTTCTTCTTTTTACCTTCTTTTTCTTCTCTTTCCTCTTCTTTCTTCTTTTTTCCTCCTCTTTTTTCTTTTTCCTCCTATTTCTTCTTTGCCTCCTCTTTCTTCTTTTTCCTCCTTTTTTCCTCCTCTTTTTTCTTTTTCCACCTCTTTTTTCTTTTTGCCTTCTTTTTCCTCCTTTTTTCCTCCTTTTTACCTCCTTTTTCCTCCTCTTTCTTCTTTTTACCTCCTTTTTCTTCTTTTTCCTCCTCTTTCTTCTTTTTCCTCCTCTTTCTTCTTTTTACCTTCTCTTTCCTCCATTTTCTTCTTTTTCCTCCTCTTTCTTCTTTTTCCTCTTTTTCTTCTTTTTCCTCCTGTTTCTCCTTTTATACCTCCTTTTCTTCTCTTTCCTCCTCTTTCTTCTTTTTTACCTCCTCTTTCTTCTTTTTTCCTCCTTTTCCTCCTCTTTCTTCTTTTTTTTTTTTTTCTCTTTCCTCCTTTTTTTTCTTTTCCTCCTTTTTTCCTCTTTTTTCTTCTTATTCCTCCTGTTTCTCCTTTTTACCTCCTTTTCTTCTCTTTCCTCCTCTTTCTTCTTTTTACCTCCTCTTTCTTCTTTTCCTCCTCTTTCTTCTTTTTCCTCCTCTTTCTTCTTTTTTACCTTCTCTTTCCTCCTTTTTTCTTCTTTTCCTCCTCTTTCTTCTTTTCCTCTTTTCTTCTTTTTTCCTCCTGTTTCTCTTTTTTTCCTCCTTTATCTTCTCTTTTTCCTCCTCTTTCTTCTTTTTACCTCCTCTTTCTTCTTTTTCCTCCTCTTTCTTCTTTTCCTCCTCTTTTTCTTCTTTTTCTTTTCTCTTTCCTCCTTTTTTCTTCTTTTTTTTTCCTCTTTCTTCTTTTTCCTCTTTTTTTTCTTTTTCCTCCTGTTTCTCCTTTTTACCACCTTTTTCTTCTCTTTCCTCATCTTTCTTCTTTTTACCTCCTCTTTCTTCTTTTTCCTCCTCTTTCTTCTTTTTCCTCCTCTTTCTTCTTTTTACCTTCTCTTTCCTCCTTTTTCTTCTTTTTCCTCCTCTTTCTTCTTTTTCCTCTTTTTCTTCTTTTTCCTCCTGTTTCTCCTTTTTACCTCCTTTTTCTTCTTTTTCCTCCTTTTTCTTCTTTTTCCTCCTCTTTCTTCTTTTACCTCCTCTTTCTTCTTTTTTTGAGAATTTTTTGTCCTCTTTCTTCTTTTCCTCCTTTTTACCTTCTTTTCCTCCTTTTCTTCTTTTCCTCCTCTTTCTTCTTTTTCCTCCTTTTTACCTTCTTTTTCCTCCTTTTTCTTCTCTTTCCTGCTCTTTCTTCTTTTTCCTCCTCTTTCTTCTTTTTCCTATTTTTTCCTCCTTTTTCTTCTTTTTCCTCCTCTTTCTTCTTTTTTTTCCTTTTTCTTCTTTTTCCACCTCTTTCTTCTTTTTCCTCCTTTTTCTTCTTTTACCTCCTCTTTCTTCTTTTTCCTCCTTTTTCTTCTTTTACCTCCTCTTTCTTCTTTTTCCTCTTTTTTCCTCCTCTTTCTTCTTTTTCCTCCTTTTTACCTTCTTTTTCCTCCTTTTTCTTCTTTTTCCTCCTCTTTCTTCTTTTTCCTCCTTTTTACCTTCTTTTTCCTCCTTTTTCTTCGCTTTCCTCCTCTTTCTTCTTTTTCCTCCTCTTTCTTCTTTTTCCTCTTTTTTCCTCCTCTTTCTTCTTTTCCTCTTTTTTTCCTTCTTTTTCTTCTTTTCCTCCTCTTTCTTCTTTTTTCCTCCTTTTTTCCTTCTTTTCCCCTTTTTCTTCTCTTTCCTCCTCTTTCTTCTTTTTCCTCCTCTTTCTTCTTTTTCCTCTTTTTTCCTCCTCTTTCTTCTTTTTCCTCTTTTTTCCTCCTCTTTCTTCTTTTTCCTCTTTTTTCCTCCTTTTTCTTCTTTTTCCTCCTCTTTCTTCTTTTCCTCCTTTTTCTTTTTTCCTCCTCTTTCTTCTTTTTCCTCCTTTTCTTCTTTTTTTTCCTCTTTCTTCTTTTCCTCCTTTTTCTTCTTTTACCTCCTCTTTCTTCTTTTTCCTCTTTTTTCCTCCTCTTTCTCCTTTTTACCTCCTTTTCTTCTCTTTCCTCCTCTTTCTTCTTTTTTTACCTCCTCTTTCTTCTTTTCCTCCTCTTTCTTCTTTTCCTCCTCTTTCTTCTTCTTAAAAAACTTTCCTCCTTTTTCTTCTTTTTCCTCCTCTTTCTTCTTTTTCCTCTTTTTCTTCTTTTTCCTCCTGTTTCTCCTTTTTACCTCCTTTTTCTTCTCTTTCCTCCTCTTTCTTCTTTTTACCTCCTCTTTCTTCTTTTCCTCCTTTTTCTTCTTTTTCCGCCTCTTTCTTCTTTTTCCTCCTCTTTTTTTCTTTTCCTCTTTTTTCCTCCTCTTTCTTCTTTTTCCTCCTTTTACCTTCTTTTTTCCTCCTCTTTCTTCTTTTTTCCTCCTTTTTACCTTCTTTTTTTTCCTTTTTCTTCTCTTTCCTCCTCTTTCTTTCTTTTCCTCCTTTTTTTCTTCTTTTTCCTCTTTTTCATCCTCTTTCTTCTTTTTTCCTTTTTTCCTCATTTTCTTCTTTTTTCCTCCTCTTTCTTTCTTTTTCCTCCTTTTTTTCTTTTAAAGACCTCTTTCTTTCTTTTTCCTCCTTTTTTTCTTTTACCTCATCTTTCTTCTTTTCCTCCTTTTTCTTCTTTTACCTCCTCTTTCTTCTTTTTTCCTCTTTTTTTCCTCCTCTTTCTTCTTTTTTTTTCCTTTTTACCTTCTTTTCCTCCTTTTCTTCTTTTTTCCTCCTCTTTCTTCTTTTCCTCCTTTTTACCTTCTTTTTCCTCCTTTTTCTTCCTTTCCTCCTCTTTCTTCTTTTCCTCCTCTTTCTTCTTTTCCTCTTTTTTTATCCTCTTTCTTCTTTTCCTCCTCTTTCTTCTTTTTCCTCTTTTTTTTTCCTCCTTTTCTTCTTTTTTCCTCCTCTTTCTTCTTTTCCTCCTTTTTACCTTCTTTTCCTCCTTTTCTTCTCTTTTCCTCCTCTTTCTTCTTTTCCTCCTCTTTCTTCTTTTTCCTCTTTTTTCCTCCTCTTTCATCTTTTTCCTCTTTTTTCCTCCTCTTTCTTCTTTTTCCTCTTTTTTCCTCCTTTTTCTTCTTTTTTTTCCTTTTTCTTCTTTTTCCTCCTCTTTCTTCTTTTTCCTCCTCTTTCTTCTTTTTCCTCCTTTTTCTTCTTTTACCTCCTCTTTCTTCTTTTTCCTCTTTTTTCCTCCTCTTTCTTCTTTTTCCTCCTTTTTACCTTCTTTTTCTTCTTTTTCCTCCTCTTTCTTCTTTTTCCTCCTTTTTACCTTCTTTTTCCTCCTTTTTCTTCTCATTCCTCCTCTTTCTTCTTTTTCCTCCTCTTTCTTCTTTTTCCTCTTTTTTCCTCCTCTTTCTTCTTTTTCCTCTTTTTTCCTCCTCTTTCTTCTTTTTCCTCCTTTTTACCTTCTTTTTCCTCCTTTTTCTTCTTTTTCCTCCTCTTTCTTCTTTTTCCTCTTTTTCTTCTTTTTCCTCCTTTTCATCTTTTTCCTCCTCTTTTCTTCTTTTTCCTCTTTTTTCTTTTTTTCCTCCTGTTTCTCCTTTTTACCTCCTTTTTCTTCTCTTTCCTCCTCTTTCTTCTTTTCCTCTTTTTCTTCTTTTTTCCTCCTCTTTCTTCTTTTTCTCTCTTTTCTTCTTTTCCTCCTCTTTCTTCTTTTTTAATTTTTTCTTCTTTTCCTCCTCTTTCTTCTTTTTACCTCCTCTTTCTTCTTTTCCTCTTTTTTCCTCCTCTTTCTTCTTTTTTCCTCCTTTTTACCTTTTTTTTTCCTCCTTTTTCTTCTTTTCCTCCTCTTTCTTCTTTTCCTCTTTTCTTCTTTTCCTCCTTTTTCTTCTTTTCCTCCTCTTTCTTCTTTTTTCCTCTTTTCTTCTTTTTCCTCCTGTTTCTCCTTTTTACCTCCTTTTCTTCTCTTTCCTCCTCTTTCTTCTTTTTTTCCTCCTCTTTCTTCTTTTTTCCTCCTTTTTCTTCTTTTCCTCCTCTTTCTTCTTTTACCTCCTCTTACTTCTTTTTCCTCTTTTTTCCTCCTCTTTCTTCTTTTTCCTCCTTTTTACCTTTTTTTTCCTCCTTTTTCTTCTTTTTCCTCCTCTTTCTTCTTTTTCCTCTTTTTCTTCTTTTTCCTCCTTTTTCTTCTTTTTCCTCCTCTTCTTTTTCCTCTTGTTCTTCTTTTTCCTCCTGTTTCTCCTTTTTACCTCCTTTTTCTTCTCTTTCCTCCTCTTTCTTCTTTTTACCTCCTCTTTCTTCTTTTTCCTCCTTTTTCTTCTTTTTCCTCCTCTTTCTTCTTTTACCTCCTCTTTCTACTTTTTCCTCTTTTTTCCTCCTCTTTCTTCTTTTTCCTCCTTTTTACCTTCTTTTTCCTCCTTTTTCTTCTTTTTCCTCCTCTTTCTTCTTTTTACCTCCTCTTTCTTCTTTTTCCTCCTTTTTCTTCTTTGTCCTCCTCTTTCTTCTTTTGCCTCCTCTTTCTTCTTTTTCCTCTTTTTTCCTCCTCTTTCTTCTTTTTCCTCCTTTTTACCTTCTTTTTCCTCCTTTTTCTTCTTTTTCCTCCTCTTTCTCCTCTTTTTCTTCTTTTTCCTCCTCTTTCTTCTTTTTCCTCTTTTTCTTCTTTTTCCTCCTCTTTCTTCTTTTTCCTCCTTTTTCTTATTTTTCCTCCTCTTTCTTCTTTTATCTCCTCTTTCTTCTTTTTCCTCCTTTTTCTTCTTTTTCCTCCTCTTTCTTCTTTTACCTCCTCTTTCTTCTTTTTCCTCTTTTTTCCTCCTCTTTCTTCTTTTTCCTCCTTTTTACCTTCTTTTTCCTCTTTTTTTTCTTTTTCCTCCTGTTTCTCTATTTTACCTCCTTTTTCTTCTCTTTCCTCCTCTTTCTTCTTTTTACCTCCTCTTTCTTCTTTTTACCTCCTCTTTCTTCTTTTTCCTCCTTTTCTTCTTTTCCTCCTCTTTCTTCTTTTTTACCTCCTCTTTCTTCTTTTTCCTCTTTTTTCCTCCTCTTTCTTCTTTTTCCTCCTTTTTACCTTCTTTTTCCTCCTTTTTCTTCTTTTTCCTCCTCTTTCTTCTTTTTCCTCTTTTTCTTCTTTTTCCTCCTCTTTCTTCTTTTTCCTCTTTTTCTTCTTTTTCCTCCTCTTTCTCCTTTTTCCTCCTTTTTCTTATTTTTCCTCCTCTTTCTTCTTTTACCTCCTCTTTCTTCTTTTTCCTCCTTTTTTTTCTTTTTCCTCCTCTTTCTTCTTTTACCTCCTCTTTCTTCTTTTTCCTCTTTTTTCCTCCTCTTTCTTCTTTTTCCTCCTTTTTACCTTCTTTTCCTCCTTTTCTTCTTTTTCCTCCTCTTTCTTCTTTTTACCTCCTCTTTCTTCTTTTTCCTCTTTTTCTTCTTTTTCCTCCTCTTTCTTCTTTTTCCTCCTCTTTCTTCTTTTTCCTCTTTTTCTTCTTTTTCCTCCTGTTTCTCCTTTTTACCTCCTTTTTCTTCTCTTTCCTCCTCTTTCTTCTTTTTCCTCCTTTTTCTTCTTTTACCTCCTCTTTCTTCTTTTTCCTCTTTTTTCCTCCTCTTTCTTCTTTTTCCTCCTTTTTACCTTCTTTTTCCTCCTTTTTCTTCTTTTTCCTCCTCTTTCTTCTTTTTACCTCCTCTTTCTTTTTTTTCCTCCTCTTTCTTCTTTTTCCTCTTTATTCTTCTTTTACCTCTTTCTCCTCTCTTCTCCATTCTCTTCTCTTTATCATTCTCTCTTTGCATGTCATCATTACTCTTCCCCCCACCGCACTTTTTTATTCCATTTCACTTTATTTATTTCTCTCCCTTCCATTCTTTCTCAGTTCCTCCTCTTTATCTTCTTGAATCTCTTACTAAATCCTTCTTTTCCTTTCTTTCACTGTTTCTGTTTCATTGCTTCTCCTTCTCTCTTTCTTTCCTCCTCACCTTTTATGTCTTCGTAGCATAAATTCCATTTCATTATCTCTCCTCATCTCCATATTCTTTCCCCATCTTACTCTCCTTTTAATTTTCAATGTTCTTCTTCCTCCTCTTTCTTTTTTCCTTATATCTCCCCTTCCCCTTTTTCTCCTCTCCCCTTTACTCTACTTTTATGTCTTCGCTATTCTTCTTCCTCCTCTTTCTATTGCTTTATATCTCCCCTTTCCCTCTTTCTCTTCTCCCCTTTTACTCTCCTTTTATGTCTCCACTACTCTTCCTCTTTCCATTGATTTTTATCTTTCTTTCTTTCTCCTCTTTCTTTTCTCCCCCTCTTACTCTCCTTTTATGTCTTCAATACTCTTCTTCCTCCTCTTTCTATTACCTTATAACCCCCCTTTACCTCTTTCTCTTCTCCCCTTTTACTCGCCTTTTATGCCTTCACTACTCTTCCTCCTCCTCTTTCTATTGCTTTTTATCTTTCTTTCTCCTCTTTCTCTTCTCCCCCTCTTACTCTCCTTTTGTCTTCAATACTCTCTTCCTCCTCTTTCTATTACCTTATATTTACCCTTATTCTCTTTCTATTCTCCCCCTCTTACTTTCCTTTTATGCCCCTAATTACATTCTTTCTCTCTTCCCTTCTTTTTCTTCTCCTCTTCTTTATTTTGCCAATACGCTTCTCTCCGTCTAA